AGTAAAGACTTTTAAAGTAGAATTTGTTGAACTTCTAAATTTCTATAGGGTCTTTAGTGATTTCTCCCTTTTCATTCCTTATTGTATGACTTTGAATTTTTTTTTTCTTTTTTTTTTGATGAGGTTGGCTAGGGATTTATCAATTTTATTTATTCTTTCAAAGAAGTAACTCTTAAGGTTCATTAATTCTTTTTATTGTTTTCTACATCTCGTTTGCATCAATTTCTGCTTTAATCTTTGTAATTTCCTGCCTTCTTTGGGCTTTGGTTTTGGGCCTGACTTGTTTTTCTTTTTCTAGGAGCTTGAGGTTCAGCATAAGATTTATTTGTTCTCATTCTGGTTTCCTGATGTCAAAATTCATGGCTGTATATTTTCCTGTTAAGACAGCTTCCATTGAACCCTACAGATTTTGATAAGTTTTATCCGCATTTTCATTTGATTATAAATATTTTTTAATTTTTTCTTTAATTTCATCTGTGACTGATTGTTTATTCAGGAAGTTGTTATTTAATTTCTGTGTGGTTATGACTTGTATGTGATTTTCTTTATTAATAATTCCTAGTTTCATTGCACTATGGTCAGATAATATGCATGGGATAATTTCAGTTCCTTTGCATTTACTTAAGCATGATCTATGTGCTGGTGTATGGTCTATTTTGGAGAATGCAGCCTGTGCAGCTAAACAGTGTATTTTGATGTTGGGTTGAACACTCTGTAAAGGTCTACTCATTCCATTTCTTCTCAAGTTTGGTTTAGTTCTTGTATTTCTTTGCTGATTTTTTTTGCCTAGTAGATCTATCTTTTTGAGAATGGGGTGTTAAAGTCCCCTATTATAATTGTCTTATGGCTCATTTGACTTTTTATGTCCGTTAACATTTGTCTTGTGTGGTTGGGTGCATGTGTATATATTTATGATTATTATCTCTTCTTCTTGCAGTTGTCCTTTAACAAGCATGTAGTGACCTTTATCTCTTAAACATTCTTGATTTGAAGTTGACATTGTCAGCAAGCAGAATGTCCCATGGAGTATTGTTTTTTATCCTTTGACTTTTAGTCTGTGAATTTCCTTTTGAAATAAATGTGTTTGTTGTGTACAGCATATTGTTGAATTTTGTTTCTTGATCTACTCTGACAGTCTGCTTCTTTTGATTGGTGAAATAAGGTTATTTACATTCATGGTTATAACTGATATGTATTGGCTTATCTTTGTCATGTCATTTTCCTGTTGTAAATTCCTTACTTTTCCCCTCTATTTAATTGCTTGCTCTAGTTGCTGGTTCCTTTCTGCTGTTCTTGAAGTTGTGGTCATTTTGGTCTCTTTCTAAAATGTCTGTCATTGCTCTTTGTAGTGTTCTTTTGGTGATCATGAATCTCTTTGGTTGTTCTTCGTCATGGAAGTATCTTATCTCTCCATTAAATTGATAGATAGTTTTGCAGGGTATATCAATCGGGGTTGGAAGTTACGATTTTTCAGGATTCAAAATACTTCACTTAAAGCTCTTACTGCTTTGTTGGCTTGTGTTGAGAAATCTGCCGTTATTCTGATGGGCTTTCCATTGTAGGTGATTTTTTCTTCTCTTAAGCTTTTAATGTTGTGTTGCTTTGCTGAATGTGGCATCTTGATTATTGTGTGTCTAGGAATAGGTTCATTTTGATTACGGCTAATTGGAGTTCTGTGTACCTCGCTTAATGTATGTCAGATGTTTGGGAAATTTTCTGCTACTACTTCTGCAAATAGTCTTTTTAAGTCATTTGTGTTGACTCCTACTGTTTCATTGACATCTATTAGTCTTCTATTGTTTTTCTTTGCATCATCTTGCAGCTGTTGAATTATTTCTTCCTACTTCCTTGTTATTTCTGAGAGACCTTTCCTTTTGTGTTCACTAGCTGCAGGGTTGTCTTTAGTTTCATTTGTGTGGTTTTGCCAACTTTCAATGGAATTCATAATTTCCTGGATACCTGTTTGAATCTGTTTTATGCATTCTGATTCTTTGCTGTATTGTTTGTTCAGTGTTTCCTTCATTTCTCTGTTCTTCTCTATTTTTTTTAAAAATCTATATCTTCTTTAGATGTGCTGAGCAATTCTTTCATAATTGTCATTTCTTTTTTTTACTGGAGAGATTATTTCTGATCTGACTTCTATAGTCTGATGGAGTTGTTTTTTACTTCAGTTACTATCATTTCAGAAATTCCAGGGGTGTAACTTCCAAGTTCTTCTATACCCTTCTCTCCTGGACTTGTTCTGGGTGGGCTGGAGGTCTGAGATTGCCATTTGCTCCTTTATTTTCACGTTTTTGAAGCTTCCGGTGTTCACCCAGACTCAGCAGCCGGTAGGGACACGGGGCGCAGGTCAGCAAGTGGGAGGGCGGAAGAGGCTCAACAGAGTTCCCACTGTGCGGGTTCAGCATGACTTCCACTATGGTGAAGGGGGCTGTCAGCCACAGCTCAGGAAGGCTCTGATGGTGATAGTGCAGGCCAAATCTCCTCCAAACTTCTCCAGTGGTTAGGGGCAGGGTAGGGCTCACCACGGTTTCTGCGACCAGCAGGTGAGGTGGCCGCAGCTCAGTAGAGCTCCAGCGACTGCAGGGTGGGCTGGGGCAGGGTTCACCGGGTTCCCATAGCTGTCTGATGTCCACCTACCTTCTGTGATGGCGACATTGTTAGTGTTTTACCCACCAGGAGCCCTAAGGATAATCGGTAGAAATGCCTGTGAGTATTTAAAAACACTATGTAGATGTTTTTTCAGAATCATATCGATTAATGAAAATGCTAATTGTTTAGCTTGCACTTAATCTTTGAACTGCTTTCTATATTTTTCCCTTGTTAAGTAGAAAATTCTTAACGAAATTTTTATTCAGTGCTGTTTTTCTGCATGGTTTGCTTCTAAATTAAATGTTGACTCTTAATTAAAAAGATAACTTGTTTAAGTGTTCTAGATGGAAAATTTTTGGTATTTGTTATTTTATGTCTAATTTCTTTTACTGTTCTGACACTTTTTTCTTGAGAAACTTTTATTGCAGTCTGTCAGAGCAGCAGAAGAATATAGAGATTGCCTGTGTACCCCGTGAAGATATCTTCTCATTTTCTATAACTTGTGTTTTAACTCTGCTTGAACTGAGTTCTTCAGTGTGGGCCAGTTGGCTGGTGCTTTCCTTCATAGCGCACAGCTTTGGTCTCAAGAGCTCTGAGCCTCTCTTGGTGTCACCAGTGTGGCCCTCTGTTTCTGTGGGCACAGCCTCATGTCCACTTTCATACTTAGATCTGCCATCTGTCCTGAATTGACTTTTGAGCCTGAAACAAGTTGGGCTCCATGTCTGGTCTCCCTGTGACTGTTTGAGCCAAGACATCCCTTTGTTCAGTGGTGTCACCCTGTTACGATTGGGTGACTGTGTGTGTTACTCTCCCTTTGGCAGTTTGTCTGCACCAGGGCTTCTCCACTTGGACACTACTGACATGTTTCTTTTTCTTTTTTTTTTTTTTTTGACATGTTTCTTGTATGTGGCTGTCGTGTGTATGTGTGTGTTTAGTCACAACTGTGTGTCCTGTGTGTGCTTAGCCACATCTGTAACTGGTAGGTTCTGAACTGATTATTCATGTAGAGCTCCTGGGCAGAACCTGTCCTTGGTCTTGTTAGGGGAGTGCCCTCTTCAGCTGTGGATCTGTATCCAATCGAAATCCCAATAAACTTGTGAAACTGAGCAGGTTGAGCCAACAACTGATAAAGAAGTCAAAGGCCCAGAAGTAGGAGAGGCACAGAGTGAGGTAGGGGCCCCCTGCACCCTGAGATTGACCCCAAACTGTGGGGCTGGGCTGTGTATGGATTCCGAGGTGGATGAGAGCTGGGACTGAGAGGCAGACGGCCGTAGGGAGGAGGTTTGCAGAGGATGGGAATACCCTGAGCGGGCAGGCTGGGCACTCTCGGGCTGCATGGTGTTTCCAGCCTGCCCTGTGCTGTGCAGAGCCAGGCTGTGTTTCTCATTTCATATCTCCCCATTCAAGTGAACTGAGCTTGGAAAGCAAGCTTGAAAATTGTTCTAGAAGATGTAAGGAAGAATGGAATGCTTAGAGACATTAGAAGTAAACGGCCTGACTTCATGAGCCGGTCTTCACGTATGTCTTAGAAATGTGCCGTGGGTGCCAAGGTGAGGTGAATGGGTTTAGTGAAGCACCAGTGCTGCACAGTAGAGAGCACACGACAGTGTGTGCTCTACACGGTGACAGTGCCCATGGTCATAATGCGCACAGTGTTCGAGATGCTGGTTCCTGTGACAGTGACAGAGGAGGCTTCAGGCAGCTAGCATCGGTATCTTGTAATGTTTATTATTCTTAATAAAAATGTTATAAAGTTACGCCTGACACACTTAATGCCATGTGAATATTGAACAGTAGGAAATGGTTGAAAAAAATTATAGTATTTACATACCATGAAGTATTTTCATTACTCAAAGGAATGATTTGTAGCTATTTCATATGCAGAGATTTTCAAGTTACTACAGGTTCAGCCCTGTCCCGCACACGTGCACGAAACGGCCCAGAAGCTTGTGCAGTGGGGTCTCTTGCTGGGGAGTCTGCAGACCTTCTGCTCTGCCTTCTCTCCTCAGCGTGAGAGAAAAGGCACATAAATCCAGGGCAGGCCTGGATTCAGTGAGGATCGTTTCTGACCTTATTTTCTTCCTTGTAGTGTCCGGGATGACAGGATTCGAGTAGAGAGGATGGATAATGTTTGTTTTGAACACAGCCTTGCTTTCCAGGCAGTCACAGAGTTTTATGCAAAGGACCCAGTGGACATCAGAGGTGAGGATTGTATACGCTGGCCGAGTCCTCAGGCAGGTGATCTGAGGTTCAACCTTCAGTCTGATGATGGCTGGGTTGTGATCAGAAGTGAGTGGGAGCCCCCAGGAAGGCACATCGGGGACCCTGTAGGGTCAGCCTTTCTCCTTGGGACCTTTGGGCACTCAAAGAATGTAAGGAGCTCCTGACCACATTTTCTTGAGCTTATCTTGTAATGTGGCCCCTAAGTAACCCTGCATTTTAGCAGGATGTTTGGCTAACTACTTTGCTGGAGGCTGGCATCAAGGCTGTCATGTGGGTAAGTGGCCAAGGCAGGCATCCCCACAGTTAGCCAAGAGCAGAAACTCCAAGGGAAGAAAGTTCTTTCTGGAGAGTATTTCCGTGCCCAGTGCTGGGTTTAAATGGCACAGGAAGTAGGGTGAGCCTCTCTCCGACCCAGTGGGCAGAAGGGTAGAAAGACAGGAGGGCGCTGGGAGGACATCTGATCTGATCGGGAGCAGTTTGGAATGGCCGGGGCTGCCTGGACATGGAGAAGGCCTGGGGGCTGGTATCACCTGAGGCCTTGGTGGGTGTAAGGCGCAGGGTAGGGCAGAGAGCCCTGCCAGGAGGAGTGCCCTGCCTCAGGCTTTGGCACCAAAGGGGATAAGCAGCCTGAGAGGCCTCTGAACAGACCATTGTGAAAGCAGTGAAGCTAGTTTATGTTGCCCCTGTGGGGATGGGCGGAGGTCGTGAAAGGTGTCAGCACCCCGCCAGGGGAGGCAGAGTTTGTAAGGCCTACCGTGGGAGCTGTTCCCCAAGGGACTTTCGGAGTGGAATGGAGTGGTCCTGCTCACAGAACAGTCAGAACATCGAACTCTTCACACCGGGAGCGTGCAGACCTGTGCTGGTCCAGTCTGCATGAACTTTTGCCCTGTGAGCCGAGGACAGCACGACCCCGTAGTGGTGCCCAGCTTGAGTGCCACAATCCCATGATGCCTTTCAGCAGATGCATGATGATCTGCCTTTACTAAAATGTATGTTTCCTCATGGCTGTCTATTTAGGTCATCTCCAGGGCTTTATGTTTAGAAAAGTTTCTGCTCATCTTGTATATATGTCTGTGACATGCAGTTGGGATTATTTCTGGTCAAAGGAGACTAGTAGGTTTTTAACATTATTGGTACATTTTAGATACACAGCAGCATTTTATATTTTTCAACCATTTTCTGTTTTTCTCCCTAAAAGGGTCCATTCCAACTTCAGAACTACGTGTCATGGGTATCTGTAATCATGATTTTTCCAAAGGGCCAATTACGCTTTCAGTACTGATAAAGTTTGCATAGAATTGGCTTTTAATAGTAATAATAATGTTAATGAGGTTATACATTCTGTTTTTTAGGGTCTCACAGTTTTTCTGGCATCATCAATTTGGAGAAACCTGTGATTTGCTGTTTGGCTGCCATAATAAGATACCTCAAGGAGTTTAACTTGGAAAAGATACTCTCTATGCCTGAGTAAGTGGTGGCTGAAAAGGGACAGGACTGAGTGCCAGTGCTGGTAGGTAGTATATTACGAGAAGTGTACTTGCTGCTGGTAGAGTTCCCTAGCAGGGTATAGGGATGAACTCTCTGGTAGTAGTGCTGTGGAATCATAAAAGTGCTGATTATCTTAAAATGGCACCCCAATTCTGGCCCCAAATGTTCATGGTAACTATTTGGTGAGTTGTTTTGACTATGAAACTTCCTTACAGCAAGTGGATTAAGACGTGGGTTTGAAAGCATTCACATTTACTAGTTTCTTATTCGCGCTTGCGGCGCTTATTTCACAGACCATACGTTTGGAGAGGGGGGGCCAGCTATTAATGTGGTTCTTCTTTGCAGGAGTGATTAACTTACAGGCTTCCGAAATGTCAAGCCGCAGAACGAAGACCCTCACCTAGTGGCCAGTGGAGGAAGTGGCAGCGGGGTCGCTTTCTTGCCTTTCTCTCTTTCCCCCCTCACAGCCCTTGTCCTTGTTGCTGTCAGGAGTTGCTGTCTGTCCCAATGACCCTGGCTCAGTAAACTGGGGGCTGAGGGTGGTACTGGCTTGGGCAGAGTAGGACACAGGCGGGCTCCCTGGAATGCCATCCTGATGTCTCTGCTACGTTCCATGTGGCATTCAGTGAAGCAGTAACTGCTGTGGAAATGACGTCACCCCATGTCAGACAGTGTAGAACCCATGTGGGAGGTGGGTGTGTTGTGTCATGTTGGTACACGTACAGTGAACGACCTATAGGACCACACCAGTGGATCTAGCCAGAAGTCAGGGTGCAGGCTTGCAGCGCAGGCCATTGTGCGAGTGAGAGAAGTCCGAAGCAGGACTCAGCTGTGCTCAGGGAGGGCTGAACAGCACAGCCATGAGCGGCTTCTTCTGTAGACGAGGAGGAGGAAGAAGGCGAAATGGTGGTGGGGTAATGGCTCAGTGGAGTGCTAAGCACTTTAACTTTTAACTTGGAGTGTTATTAATCTGTGAATGTTTCAGTGTGGCTGAAAGATTTTATTTTTAAAAAGTCATGACCTGCACAGGGAGATAGCTCAGTGGCATAAGCACCTGCCTGCAAGCACAAGATCCTAAGTTCAAACCCTGGTACCAAAAAAAAAAAAAAAAAAAAAAGAAATTAATGTGATCAATAAAGTAATGATCTGGACACCAGAAATTGCGAACTTAGTTCTCTTTCCCATCTTGGAAGATGGCGGGCGAAAAAACTGAGAAGCCAGACACTAAAGAGAAGAAACCTGAAGCCAAGAAAGCTGCTGCCAGTGGTACTGGTAAAAAGGGTAAAGTGAAGGCAAAAACGTCCAAGAAGGGGCAGCCCCACTGCAGCTGAAATCCTGTTCTGGCGAGAGGAATTGGTAGATACTCTTGATCTGCTGTGTATGTTCAGAAAAGCTTTGTACAAGAGAAAGTACACAGCTGCTAAATTGAAGGCTGAGAAGAAAAAGGAGAAAGTTCTTGCTATGATCACAAAATCAGTCAGTGGGGACAAGAATTGTGGTACTGGGTGGTCAGGTTTCAAAAAAATGCCTAGATACTACCTTACTGAAGATGTGCCCCGAAAGCTCTTCAGCCATGGCAGGAAACCCTTCAGTCAGCATGTGAGGAAACTTTGAGCTAGCACCGCTGCCAGCACCCTCTTGGTCATCCTCACCGGGCGTCACAGAAGCAGGAGAGTGGGCTTCCTGAAGCAGTTGCCCGGAGGCTTGCTACCTGTGACGGGGCCTCTGAGCCTTGATCATGTTCCTCTACGAAGCACGCACCAGAAATTTGTCATTGCCACCTCTACAAAAATTGGTATCGGCAAAGCGAAAATCCCCAAACACCTCACTGATGGGTTTCCGCAGCTGCTGCGGAAACCCAGACACCAGGAGGGCGAGATCTTCGACACCTGGAGAGAGACACCAGATTTCAGAGCAGCGCAAGGTGATCAGAAAGCAGTGGATGCATAGATGTTAGCAAAAATCAAAGCTGTTCCTCAGCTCCAGGGCAATCTGCAATCTGTTTTTGCTCTGACAAATGGAATTTATCCTCATAAATTAGTGTTGTAAATTTCTTACCAAGAACCTAATTAAATAACTGATGCCTTAGAAAAAAAAAGTAGTGACCTGACATTATGTCTCACTGGGTGCTGCTTTGCACTCCACAGTTAGGCACTGGAGGGCCATCTGTGTGGCTGATGGTGTTATACAGTAAAAAGAATTTAAAGAAACATGCTATGATATGCTCATGTGGCCAGTCCCCAAGCTGATTGTAAACTATATGAACTGCGAACTTGTAGAAATAAAATCAAAGAGCAAAATGTCCAAGTGCAAGCCCCCAGGAGACCCGATTGTGCCTGCGAGCCTTCAGTGTGGTACAGTCCGTGATGCAGAGCTTGCAGAGATCGGCGGCCCCATCCCCGCAGCCCTGAGGAAAGGAGGCGTGCGCTGGAACAGGGACACTGACCCTGTGTTATAAAATCACATTCTGGTGTATTTAGAAGGTGGTGGTTTTCGGCTGACTGTCCTCATATTGATTTGAAGTAACAGCAAATAATGAAGCAAAATGATAAGCCCTTATTTTGTACATATTCCCAGCTCCTTGTAGACTATCAGAAAATATGGAATTAATGAAAAAGGAAGGAATTCAGATCCTGGAGAGTGGATTTAATGGGGAATTGCCCAATTTAATGTCAGAAACTGCTGAATGGCTACAGATGGTGGCCCAGTGTGCTGTTGTTTTGCTTACAGATGAAGTGTGAGTGATGGAATTTGATGGGTGACATGTGATTTTACCCTGAAGACCATTCCAGGAGAAGATGGCTACTGGCTTTGTACTTTGGAAAAAGAAAGCAACTTCCTGAGGCTATTACCTTGGAAAAAGTGAATGTTCTCCTTGTGTATGGAGCGCAGTTGTACTACTCTGTAATCATAGCATGCTGAACTTCTGAACTTGTACTTGAAGACCTGTATTGTCAGGGGAAAAAAAATTTAACTTGAGTTGCTTTGTTTAGCAAATGCTTTCATAAAAATTGCCTCATATATTATAAAATCTCGAACATTTATTTCGAGGTCTTTGTGCCTTTACAATAGAATTTTAGGTGGTTGAGGAAAATATACCGTTTCAGGAATTATTCTTAGGTGAAGTGAGGTTTTTTGTTTTGTTTCTCAATAAGGGAAAATTTTGAAGTTGCAAAATTGCTTTGAGAATGTAAATGTGTTTGTTCCAGAGCAGAAGAGTGTTAACAGCGAAAGCAGAGCATGTGGAGTAGTGCTGGACCTTGCTGTAGTTTGGGTGTTGAATGTCCCAGAGACCCACATGTCCCCGGCTTGGCCACTAGCCTATGGTGCTTTTGGCAGGAGCTGGAACCAGTAGGAGCCAGGCCTGATGAAGGCAGGAGGGCATTGGCCTGCGTCCTTGAGGGGTGGCCACGTGCTGGCCTCTCTCATTTTCCTCTGCCTCCTTCTCCACGCACTGTCTGCCCTCGTGGTTGACTGGCCAGCGACCCAGAGGCAATAGGGCAGGTTAGCCATGGAACCTCTGGGGCCCTGGGCTGAGGGAACCTGTCCTCCTTACAGGTTGATTATGGGTATTTTGTCACAGAAATCCACAGCTGACTAGCGGTTATGCCAGATTATTCTAGTTCTTAAATTTATAAAATTTAAAAGACATTGGGCTTTTTTTTTTGTTACCAGAAACAAGTACTTCTGTCATTTTGGCTGATTATTGAGATTAGTTCGGTCAGAACTTCAAGTAAGCTTTGGCTTTGGAAATTATAGAACAGAATGAAAAAATTTACCCCAGATGAACTCTAAAACCTTTTCTTGCCAGGGGCTTATTAGATCCTTGGAGTCCTTTGAGTTGACAAAGATGAAAGACAGAAACTTTTAAGATTCATAGGGGATCGAGAGTAGACTTGGTTCTCGTGAACAGTCTCTCTGACCTCCACAGTCAACTCATTGTTGCCCCACAAGGAGCTTGGGAGCATAGGATCATGTGTCAGTTCATGACACATGTAGTCAGGGTTTGCAAGAAAAGCAGTATGGGCCATGTAACTTACAGAATTATTTTATAACATAACCTCAATAGTCAAATGTAAAACTGTGAAAGATCTGTCCACACACTAGAGACCCAAAGCTTCTAGCTGAGGGCTTGAAGCTTGAACATCCCATGGCAATGTTCTGCACAAGTCCAGCTGAAGATCTGCAGCCTGTGACAGTGCCCCCTGCCCAAGAGCCCACAACATCTCATGCAAGTCTGTTTCAAGGATCTGTGCTGGGAAGGCCCAAAAATCAGTGGTGAAAGCTGGGAAGTCTGTGCCAGCGAGATGAAGGATCTGTGCCAGCAGGCTGCGTGGGATCTGCGTGGGAGCCAGGCAGTGATGCTGAAAGTAAGGACCAGAGCCCCACCAAAAAGTACCACGGCCAACCTCAGTGACAGCAAGGTCCTGAGCTCTTCTGATGAGAGCAGCTGAATTTATTTCTGAAAGCCAGTGTGACCATCTTCTCCAGGAGGATCAACAGCACACACCTCCCCCTCCAGAGCCAGGAAGCAGTGATGCTCAAAGTAAGGACCAGAGCTCCCCAGAGTGGACTGCAGCCAGCCTCGATGACAGCAAGGTCCCAGACTCCTTCAACAGTGAGAGCAGCCAAGGTCACGTCAGGAAAACCAGCACAACAAGCTTCTCCAGGAGAATCAGCAGCATACCATCTCTATCTCCAGTTCTTTTCTGCTGTTAGCAGCAACCCTCAGGTGGACCTTCCACAACCAGTGTGGTGAGGACTCAGTTCAGTGGGGTGCTGTATGTTGCCCACCAGTTGTCAGCCCTCCACGACATGATTGAAGGAATTTTGAAAAATAAGGCACAAGTGAAACTTTGAAAGAAATGAAGTTTAAGGGGGAACAGTTCCTTCCCTGCCTGGATTCCTGCACCAGGGAAGAGGGAGCTGGCTTTCCATTCTGCCCCGGGAACACTGTGGTCAACACCTTGGCCTCCACC